AAAGGGCTTTCAACATCTGGCCCTCTCTGGAGTTTGACACTCTAGAACATACTTTAAATATCAGAGACAAGAACACTGACTAATAAACTCAGCAAAGGGTACATTTCTACATATCAGAAGAAAGAAATCTGTCCAGAAAACTACAGCTAAGAGCTCTTCCCTCGCTACGTCAGGTCTGACGCACACAGCTGGAAAGCTGGCACTTCCCCCATGACGAGAAGTATCTGGAGTTATCAACCCTTCTCCCTTCATTCGAGTTGACCAGTTACAAAGAAGAGCGCGTAGATTTTACGAGCTCAGTTCCAGATGTGATGTGTAGGTTTTCAAATCCAGAGCCCACAAAGCACTCACACCTTTATCCAAAAAATAAAGCTATTTTGTGCATGCAGAGATATAACAGCCTTCCTTCTCAGCTTGGTCTCCCTAAGCTCTGGAAACATGGAAAGTTTCACCTTGGTCAGATACACAAACTGTGGGGAAATGATGTTCAAGAACTAAAAGAGCCTATCCCGAACCCAAGATCAGCAGGATGGATCCTGGCTGGTTTCTTGCAGAAGGTGTGACCGCTCCCTGCACAAAGATGTGTTTTAGAACATGGTCTCCAAACACTTCTGCAAGATCATAGAATCATTAAGGTTGGAAAAGACCTCTAAGATCAAGTCCAACCGTTAACCCAACACCACCATGCCTGCTAAACCATGTCCCAAAGTGCCACATCCACAGGTTTTTTGAACCCCTCCAATGGGGATGGGGACTCCACCACTTCTCTGGGCAGCCTGGTCCAAGGCCTGACCACTCTTTCAGCAAAGAATTTTTTCCTAATATCCAATCTAAAGCTCCCCTGACATGACTTGAGGCCATTGCCTCTTGTCCTATTACTGGTTACTTGGGAGGAGACACCAACACCCACTTCACTACACCCTCCTTTCAGGTAGTTGTAGAGAGCGCTAAGGTCTCCCCTTAGCCTCCTCTTCTCCAGAATAAACAACCCCAGTTCCCTCAGCCGGCTCCTCGTAAGACTCCTTCTCCAGTCCCCTGGAAGCTTTTCTTGTTTGAAACCCACACGCAGGGAAACACCCAAGTGCAGAGGCTTTGTAAGAGGGAGCTTGGGCAGAGAACAGAGCTTCAGACTCCCACACCAGCTGCCTACCCAGCGTCACCCCTTTCGTCACAGCCCCCAGGGACGGGGTAGGAACCACAAGTTCAGCCACCTGCTGTCAGACTTGCTTATGATCTCAGGCAAGTCAATGCTTTCCGTGCCTCAGGTCCCCAGCTGTAAGATTTCTCATCACCTGCGGTCTCAATGCCACCAGCTGCAACACTGCACACATTTAAAAACTTTTATCTCTAGGAAAGCATTAGTGATCGAGCAGATGTCAACCGGAGAGAGCGGTGAAAGCAGAGATGACCATGCAAAGCGGGATGAAAGGTATGTGCAAACAAATGTTTCCGGCATCAGAACTTCGTACCCTCCTTCGGGAGGTACAGACCACCGCCCTCAACCCTTCTAATGCCCCGTTCACACGTTTCAGAACACCGCTATCCAGCTGAAGCAGGTCTGAAACCAGCCTTGGCTGAATTTCACAGCAAAAGAGAGGCACTCATCTTCCATCTTCCCATCTTACAAACGCCAGCTCTTCACTTGCTCCATCTTTAGACTCCTGACAATAACCCTGCATGTTCAGGTGGGAAGAAAAGACTCAATCCTGACTATAAAAACATGCTTCGCTATTGTTCTGCAGATCAGACACTACAAATTGGGTTTTTTGAAAAGTAAAAACCAAGTTTAAGCATGGTCTGAAGTCAAGCCCGCTTTACGCCACGGCTGTCCGAGATCAACGACGATTCCTCAGAAACACAAGCGAGAAAAAGTTGATGTTTCAGACCTGTTTCTCAACCAGCTCAGCCTTTCCAACTCACACGCCAACGCAGAAGCTCCGACCGCGGATCACCGCTTCAGGTTCCAGGGCAGAAACGTGGCAAAGTGTGAAAAACCAAAAAAATGCGATCTCCGAGGTATCGTATAAGCCAGGGTAAGGCAGTAAAATGGGATTAGAAAACAGCAAGGAGGTCACTGTTGCCGTGTGCTCTGCTGATCCAAGCAACTGCATACTGTGAGAGCAGAATGGCAGCTACAGGTCAAATCACTACAGCACGGCCTGACGGCAACGCAGCTCAGGGCGCACAGTGCTTTCCTAACAGTCCACACAACCCCTTTCCTTCAAGTCTTCACTGAAGAGTCTCAGTCCACTTTTTGCAATACCCCAGATTCCAGTTTTAAGGCCCTACGGCTCGGTCCTGATCTTAAATGCTGAAGCCCGCCAAGCTTTCTTCACAGAACAACAACAAAAAAAAATCCAGCAGATGAATTTTTTTGTATTCAGCACTAAACCAAACAAGCGCCACAGGGGTGCAAGGGACTTTATATTCTCAAATTTCCATTCAGGCTTTGCTGCTTTGCCAGTTTTCCCACTCTCAGAATCACAGAATTGTTTGGGATGGACGGGACCTTACAGAGCATCTCGTTCCAACCCCCTGCTATGGACAATGACACCTTCTGATAGACCAGGTTGCTCCAATCATAGAATCATTAAGGTTGGCAAAGACCTCCAAGATCATCAAGTCCAACCATCAACGCAGCACCACCATGCCTGCTAAACCATGTCCCAAAGTGCCACATCTACACATTTTTTTGAACCCTTCCAAGGATGGTGACTCCACCGCTTCCTTGGGCAGCCTGTTCCAGTGCCTGACCACTCTTTCAGTAAAGACATTTTTCCTAATATCCAGTCTAAACCTCCCCTGACACAACTTGAGGCCAATCCCCTTCAAATCTGTCCTTGCACACTGCCACGGAGGGGGCATCCACAACTCCTGCAACCCGTTCCCGTGCCTCACCACCCTCACAGTGAATAATTTCTTCCTTTTATCTGATCTAAATCTCCCCTTTCTCAGTTTAAAGCTATCACTCCTTATCCCATCACTCCATGCCCTTGTCAAATGTCCCTCTCCAGCTCTCACAGCCCCCTTCAGCTACTGGAAGGCCGCAACAAGGTCTCCCTGGAGCCTTCTTTTCCCCAGGATGACCAGCCCCAGCTCTCCCAGCCTTTCCTCCCAGCAGAGCTGTTCCAGCCCTCGAATCATTGCTGTGGGTCTCCTCTGGCCCCGCTCCACCAGCTCTAGCTCTGTCCCGTGCTGAGGGCTCTGGAGCTGGATGCAGGACTCCCAGTGGTGTCACATCACACCAGAGGTCTTCCCTGTGACAGGACCTGGACAATCCAAACTTAAGACGCTTCTCGTATAAAGAAGCTCTCTAACAGTAGTCATAGGCGAGGGCAAGAAATTCCTCATCTTTGGCAAGCCACACACCATTCCAGAAGATGAGAAGATGCCTTCAGAGCAGACCAGCAGTGCTGCCAGGTGATTTGTGTTTAAGTTTCCTGCCCCTGCTCACCACATCCAGCCTCTGCTCCTGGAGGAGGCAGATCCTGGAGGAAGCAGCAACCTTGCCCAGCCTGGTAAGGTCTTTGCAAACGTATTTAACACTAAGATTCTTCAACCCTGTTTGGGATGGGGGCTCACTTCCCCCACATATTTGCCTTACTGAATTCCAAACAAAGTCTTCGACAGGGGCTGACAGTCTCTACTGAAAACCCAAACACGTTATTTCAGATCTGAACTCAAATGAGCCAGTCCAGGAAAACGTTCCCTAAGCTGCTGGCTGAAATATGGACGCTGAAGAAAAACTAGCATTAGAAAACTTGCAAGTATTTTCCTCCTCAACGTGTTTTGGTTTGGTTTTAATATTATTGAGATGGGCTTTAATATCATTGAGATGTCCCAACTTTCCAATACGATTCCCATATTTGGGACCACTGCATCCAACTAAATTGTAATCCTTTCCCACCATCCTTTCATCAAATTTGCCCTGCTCTTCCTGCATCTGCATCCAAGTTTCCAGCGCAGTACCGAGTACCTCGGATCGCTCGCGGGAGCGGTTGCAGAAGTTGCTTCTGCTGTATTGAGTTCAACCAGCACAGTGAGGTCACCATGGGGAAAGCAATTAGCCTAACTCCTTCGCATTCACCCCAGACACATGGCTCCTTTCTGCTTGTGTTAAGGAGGAATAGGAAATATTCCCCTTGAGAAAGGTGATTCCCTGTTATTGTACTGGTCTAGGTAAAAACTGAGGGCCTTAAATACTTCAAGAGGGAGTTATGGGGCCAAATCAACGTAGAAAAAGGATGGACACCCTCAGATGGAAGATATATGCAGGTACATAGTAGTCCCACCGCAGAGGTAAGAAATGAAGACACGTGGGCTGTATTCGGTGAATTTTCTTCACTCGTGAAACCAGCCCTCTTATTAGTTTAAGATGTCAGCTTCCTACTGAAAAATTAAAGAGTTTAATGGTGCTGTCTGCACGTAACAGCACAAAAACACCTCCAGAAAGGATGTGACTGAACTTCTTCTGAACTCCAGAGTCAGAGCTAGTAGCCAAGCTGAATTTCCTAGATGCAGCAGATGGAAGATACCATTTCTTTGCACATACCCTAACCAAAAGCAAAACAGGAAAGAGAAGGTGGCAGCTCAGTGTACCCCAAGAGAGACATACATACTCCAGCTGGCAGCTCAGTGCTTTGCTACCCAGCAAGGTTATTTTAACAATCAACTTGTTAGATAAGACTTCTGGGAACATCCCACCAGGAAAAAAAGAAGAGAAATGCACAGCTGAAGAGTTTTAACCCAAATCCAGTTAGTTTTAAAAAGCACTGCAGGCTAGCAAGCAGGTAAGCAGCATGCACTCTAGTAGGAAGGGTGCTCTTGATCGGATGGAGCTACGCTGGCGGTACACAGCGCTGCACACCTTAGTCTTCTCCTCTAACTTCAAAATCAGAAGCCACACAATCTATGAAGTGGTCACAGCCGAGTTCTGTGAGATGCATCACAGCTAAAAATGGTTGCAGGTAGCCAGCTGGTGAGAGAGCTTGGGTACTCACTCCGGCCAGCGATTTCTGGATATTCTCCCTGGCTCTGGCAATGTCGCGTAGGATCGTGCTGGCTCCGTTCTCCTGCAAACAGTGCAGAAAGAACCAAGATTTTTTTTTTAAAAAAAAAAGGAAACATGGGAAACTGGTCAGGGAAGCTTCAAAAGCAAAAAAAAAAATAAAAAGAGGGTAAGAGTAGGGGAGGGTTCCTTCCAATGATTCAGCAAGTATTGCAAAATTAGCTGCAAGGAGGATTGGTTCTAAGTCAAGCAGCACCGACCGCAATCGCTGGTCACGTCAGGCCACACGTCCAGAAGATCATCCAGTCAAGAGCTTTCCAAATTCTGTATTATTACCCTGAATGGTTTGGACGGCTGCCATCCTGGCAGAGGGTTGGAGTCACTTCAAGTACTCCTCAGAGATCTTAGGCAGCTCTTTTTCATAGTTATTACCCATCATTGTATTCAGGCATGAAGTGACAGCCCTAACTGAAGTCTTTTATCCAGAGAGGTACGACCCAGGGTCCAGCAGCTCAAGTTTCCCTCCCCCCCCCATCCTCCCTGCTGCCTGAATTTGAAGACTCCCTTCTTAGGGCACAAATTCAGTTTCCATGACCCGTTCACTCCGTGCCTCTCCCAGTCTGTCACCCCATAAGCAGCACCGGAGACATGAAACTGCCCACAAGCCCAACACCCTGTGTCAGATAAACCACAGAAGAGCAACAGCCTGGACACATTCAGGTGGACACCGCTTCCAGGGTGTAGGAAGCATTTGAGGAACGTGGATCTTTTTCCTTAGCAGGGAACTGGCTGATAAACTGCTGCAGAATCTCCCCCAGAGCCTTCACACCACATCTCACAGGCAGAACTTCTTCACTGGAAGATCCTTATGTGGTCTAACTGTTCTAAGAGCACTGCAGAGGTTCGCTCTTGAACACCTACTTCAAGCAGTTCTGATTTTTATG